ATACTATGCCAAGCCGTACTGAAGTTGATAAACAGATCATTAAGTTGCGCGAGGAAATAAAAACAGCAAAACAGTCTTTAAACAGGAAGGTTCAAAATGCAGTTGCCCAGAAGAAACACAGGGATGGTATGAAAAGAAAGTTAGAAGATTATTGTCATGAAAATCCAGAAATAAAAAAAGACTATCTCTGAGGGATTCAGTGGGACGTCCTAATCTTGAAAGCAATCAGCATTCACTATTGAAAACAATCGCGGATATAGTTTTATTTGGGAGTGCAGCAGATGATAGAAGACGAACTGAATCAATTCGCAGCGTAAAAACTCTTGATGAACTCACACAAGAATTACGTAAAATAGGATTTGACATTAGTCGCAGTGGGACATATCTTTGTTTGATTCCCAAAAAATCTAATTCTGCAGAGGGATGAAGACATGTATCGACAGTCCCTGTTAAGCTCATCCGGGCTCAAACTGATCACCACAAGAGCCACTTAGATAGCAAGTTCGCTGACACATCAATTAATTATTTAGAGAACATAGCATCCATACTTGGACCAGATCAAGTATTTTTCATATCTCAAGATGATAAAGCTCGAGTCCCTATTGGCGTAACTGCTGCAAATAAGCAAGCACCTCTTCTAATGCACATGGAATATAGAATCAAATTGCCTGATCACGATTGGGTAATCGCTGAGCGTCATAAATTAATACCATCAGTATATGCTGGTATCAAAATCACTTCTAATATGCTAGGACAACCACAAGCCGTTGGATATTCTAGACCAACATACATCGCTATTCGAAGTGGAAAGCATAGTTCATCTACTCTCGAACTTGAAGAGTTTCGACCATTAGCTAAAACTGACCATGGACTAGTAAAACCAGTGGTAATCGTGACGGTTGATGGAGGGCCAGATGAAAATCCACGTTATCAAAAAGTCATAGGGTTTGCTATACGTCACTTTAAGCGACATGATCTCGATGCATTGTTTTTAGCTACCAAAGCTCCTGGAAGAAGTGCGTATAACAGAGTAGAGCGCAGAATGGCTCCTCTTAGTCGGGAACTGGCTGGTTTAATATTGCCTCATGTCCAATTTGGGTCTCATTTGGATGAACGTGGCGTTACAATTTGATGGACATTTAGAAAGATCTAATTTCGAATTTGCAGGAAATGTATTAGCTGAAATATGGAAATTGATGGCTATTAATGTTAATGCAAAATATGTTGGGGCAGGTGAACAAGATCTTCCTGATTTTCCAAATATTAAATGGTATTCAGAACATTTGCGTGAGAGCCAATACTTGCTTCAAATTGTAAAATGTAGAAATACAGAATGCTGTCGCCCAAGAAGAGACCTATTTAGAGTACTAGACAATAGGTTTCTTCCACCACCTGTAAAAGTAAAACAAACAGTTGATGACTTGGTTTTGGATGAAGGAGGGCAATTTCTTAATCTTCCAGACAATTTAGCTCTACGCTTAAGTGCTTCACTCAAAGATTTCCTGCAAATGTCCGACGGTAAAATTGAGGCTATCAAGTCGAACATGCAAAACGTGTGGTCTTTATCATGCTTCCGACAAGTCACTAAATCGTCACATCGAAAATATCCATAAAAAAGTAATCACGCACGCTGATAGGAAAGCTAGACCTGTAAGAGTCGCTGCTCGTCGTGCTAATGAACTGATGTGCATTATTCAAAATTTAGAGCACCATGATGTTGAATGGCTCGATGAGAACGACGTAGACATTCCAAAATTCGATGAAAGCGAGCAAACTCACCACACTGAGCAGCAATCGAAGCAATCCAATGTCATCGAAAACATAGAATCATGGATTCGGGTTTCATGAACGGAAGACTTAATTTGTATTTAATATATGTACCAAAAATTTAAAATAAGTTTGTTATGTTAGTAAGACATAATATTTTTCTCCTTTACTCTATCTTGAATACCGTATCGCTAAAATATAATCTCTATCCTAAATCTATTTTCTTATTTTTCAAATTATAATTTATAACGTTATGATTATAATATTAAAAAAAACATTACATTAATTGACAAATGCTTACGTAAGCATGGGGGGAGGGGGTAAGAGCTTTGCTTACTTTTGCTGACAATGGGGATGGGGGGTAAATAATTGTAGTAAATCTGCTTACGTAATACTTGAACAGCCCCTTATATTAAAACTGCGATCAAAAAATTCCAAGGCTATTCTTATCAGAAAACAACGCCAGTTTACAAACAGAACTAGGCATTGTCAATAGACGGCGTGAGTAATTTTAAAACAATTAGACAACTATTAGCTAAGCGCCAAGCGTCTAGAATTTCAGGTCAAATTTTCAGTTTATCTTCTCTATTTACGTTAAACCTAGATTTCTATGTAAATATATTTAATTAAAAGCTTTCAACACACAAGGTGTTTTTTCATACAGTTGAATCTTTGGTTCTTTAGTTTTACCCATTTTGTCCAGAAAAAAATAAACGAAAACGCACTTGTCGAACAATCTTGGACCATAAGGTATTGAAGCACGATTTGTTTATCAAATGAAACAAGATAACCTGAAGTAAAACTGTGTTATGGGTTTACATATAACACAAATTAAAGAATCCTAAGAAAGAGTGTCTATACAAAAACATAACGATATTCTAAAGGCAAAGAAATTCCTATCATGGCTAATAATGAGATCCCAACAATAGTGTGGGCAAAATTTTGATTTCAATGACCTTTGAGTGGTGCTTGTGCAGTGATGGTTTTCAATAAACAAAGAAAAATAAATACGTACTGGATAGTTTTTTTGTTGATGATTTTAAACGGAAATACGCAGGTGTTCAAATACTTTTGAACGATTTTAATTTGTTTTTATTTTTCGTTGATACGAGAGCTGATTAAAACGTCTGGTAGAATGGTTGATGTACATTGACCAGAAGCATCACAACAAGAATTAGAGACAGAATCCTAGTAAGCTTGTCCAGAAGGCATAAAAATCCTGAGGGACGCTTTAAGGAACAAATTCCATTAGTCTATCGGTAAAACGGGAGCTGCGACGGTGTTCTGATTAGCTGAATCTGTATTCATCTCCCTACACCGCGATTGACCTCCGAGGTGGTGCGAACGGGCGCCCGACAGAGCTGCCATATTGTTGGAATGGAATCAAAGCATATAATATTTAATTATAATGAAATGGCATTCATCCAGTCCTCGTTATCTTATATTAAACTAGTAGGTTCGGAGATTCTCTTGCTCTTGATCTAGATAATCAGCAGCCAGACGTGAATCTGACACCAACGTGTTTGCCCAGTTTACTAGATGCAAAATATTCCGCGCTCGTACAGGAAATACAAAATTAAGGTAACATTTCGAGTGTGAAGAAATTTCCTTTCGTGAGAGGACAAGGTTGTCCGCGTTTAATGTTATTGCTGCGAGAAAATAACACGATTGTCTACAATGCACTTAATAACAACACTAATGATAACATGTTTGCTAACGATCTTTTTTTTTACGTATCCCGACTATACATGAGTACACTGGTGACACCTTCATACTTTTTTCTTATCTTCGATAGAAAGGTTTCTTGTTTCCTAACTGTAGTGAAGTTTAGTGTTAAAAACTTAAAGTAAAAACACATTTTAATTTATACATTTATTAATTGAATTTAAATTAAAACTACTCAAAATAAAATTTTGTATCTGTTATGTAAAATATACGTAACATTAAATAAACAGGTGTCTGACCAATAAGTGCCCGCATTGAAAAAAAGTAAGAGGGATAAAATAAAAAAAAAGTGATAAATAATAAAAAAGTTTTTTACTTAAAATAGTACAATAAGCGAGTTCGTTTATTAATTATAACATAAACGTATGTTCTACAATAATTTCTCTGTTAGTTCGATTAAATTCCGCTTCTTATACGTTTAAGTTATCTAAAAATAGGCAAAAAACTAACGAATTTTAGTGTGTACCTATCCTTGAATTTTCAGAATAATTTTTTAAAAAGAAAAATATTTTCTATAAAGGGGTTCTTTAAAAAAATCAATGCGGGCACTTATTCCCAATGCGGGCATTTATTGGTCAGACACCAATAAACATAAAATATACTATAAATAAAATAACATAAGCAATAAGTCAATATTTTTAGTGAGAAGGATGAACCTGATGCTTTAATAATAAATTATCAACATTTGGCGACAATTTTGTAAGGGTTAATCTTAAATCTCCTCGGCTAATGATGTTTTGCAGCCAGAATTGCTGATATCCGTTTTTAAACTGAACCTGAAGTTCTTCGTTTGTACTTAGTTCCTCTTGTATTATGACATTCGTTTATTCTGTCACCATATGGATTAATTATCCACGGTGGTATTACCATAGTCAAAATATCCTCAAACCTAGATTCAAAATCTGAATAGCGGGCATTTAAATGTTGAACGAAAGTTGAAACGTCGTCTTCCTGGCAAGCTTGTCTGTGACAAATTGGGGAACTGAGAAAATTCGCCCCGTCCAATATTTTGCTTCATTAGTTTAACTCTGGCAAGAAACGCTGATAAGATGGACTTTGATTTAATCAAATTTAAACTGTCGCCTTGTAATTGCAAATTAACCATATTAAATTTTGTAAACAAATCTGTTAAATAGGCTGTCTGTTTTCCTCTTCATTAAATTTTCTTTTACAATTTTATCTTTAGCATCCAGAAATTCTAAAATAGTCTCAAAAAGTGCAAAAAATCTTGTCAAACATAAGCCTTTCGACAGCCAGCGTACTTCAGTATGAAGGAGTAATTGATGAAAATGATCGTCATTTTCTTCACACAACTTCGCAAATAACCGCGTATTCAACGCGTTGCTTCGGATTCGGTTTACTGCATCAATGACTAAATGAAGTGATTCATGCAATCTAACACTCAAATTTTTAGCAACTAAATGTTGTCGATGGATGACGCAATGTATTGCTAACACCCCTGACAAATTTTGTTTTAAATAGCTTATAAATCCACGATAACGTCCAACCATGGCAGGTGCTCCATCTGTATTTACTGATATTATATTTGATAAAGGAATTGCTTTTTCAATGAAGTAATCCTTCAAAACATGAAATATTGATTCAACTTTAGTGTCGGTTATCAAAGTTCTTGCGAAGAGCAGTTCTTCGTAGATTTCTTGATTCATAATAAAACGAACATATGCCAATAATAATGCTTCATTATCAGGTAAAGTTGACTTGTCCAGTTCTATAGAGAAATGGGTCGTTTGCAAATAATTACCTAAGAAGCTTTCAATATCAGAACTCATTTCATCAATACGTCTTTCAACAGTATTGTTGCTTAAGGGAATTCTTTTAATGATATCAGATGCAGGTTTGTGTAAAACAGTTTTTAAAACCTCTTTAACGGCTGGCAAAATTAACTTCTCTCCGATAGTATGCGGTTTTCCGGATGATGCTGTAAGTAACGAGATATTGTAAGACGCCCGCAAACGATCATCATTTCTTTGTGACGTCGAAGCGAACATTCTGTCCAGTGTAGGTCTCTTCTGAAATTTATCTTTGAGTGTTTGAAAGTATTTCAAATATTTCTCTGGTTTATCAGGGTGGCATCTTCTCAGATGATCTTGCAGTTTAGATGGTTTCATAGCGTCATTGCACAAAACTTTGTTGCATAAAAGGCACATAGGCGATTGTTTGTCCGGCAATGATGGAATGAAGCCAAATTTCAAATAATCAACACTGTACTGTCTACATTTCTTTTTAGATTCGGACATGGCATCAGTCATCTGTGGGCAAAATTAAATCATTTAGATAAGACAGAAAATCCAGCAGCTGTATATTAAAAATATTTTTTGATTTTTCCGAAAACATTCCATAATTCGAACATCTTCTTGCAACAATTAGCTCGAATTACGGTGATTGCACTGTAATTATATTACCGATTGCTAAAACTTTCAAAAAGAAACTATTGAAGAGTACTCGTGTAATTTTGCATGATTGAATATTTAATTACTAATAACTAAAGTCATGATTGGCGTAATTTATCTATTTTTGCTAACTACGAGTACAAAACTAAAATTTAATAAAAATAATGTACTTACTTTTCTCCAGCACTCTCAAACAAAATAACTCACTATAATTTGTGTGATATACTATCTGTTTATATTTTTTAAAATATTTTCTTAGCGCTTTCCTTTTCAAGATTCAGGAAACGAATAAACGTATTTGTCCCACATTCGTATTTATAGAGTGACGAATTGAACAAGTCAGTGCAAGGTAGCGAAGCTCTGAGACTGCGACTCTCAGGTTTTTACAAGTTCAAAATGTTTTGCGACCACAAAGCGAATACCAACATCCTACAACTTACACAATTTTATAAACATATATAATAAATTTTTTACTTCATAGGTACTTTTATAAATAATGTATATGTTTTGATATTATAAGATAGTATGAGTAAGTAAATAGGTACTATCAGTGTATGTGTTGAGATCCACTATCGTGGACCCCCATATTCATTTCATGGACCCCCAATTTTTTTTTCGCTGACGTAGACCCCTTGCAGGTTGTCATAGACCCCTTGGGGTCGATATAGACCACTTTGGGAATCAATGTTCTAGGACAAGGCCATGGAAAAATGTCATGTATCGACTTACTACGTCACAGTTTTGGCGCCAAATTTTACGCTTGAAGTTTGAAAGGTTTTTTCCGTCTCTCTTCGAAACTTTCTTAAAGCATTGAAGCTTCAAAATTTCAAACGTACGATGGAATTCAAAAGTTCTAATGAAGCTACCGGTTACGCCTAGTCATTTCCAAGCATTCAAAAACGGTTTGGGATGTGCATAATTTGAAGATTTGTATTAATATGTGGGAAGTACGACTTACAGTACCGACACATTACGACGAACAAAAGAATGTAAAAGAATCCAACAAAAATGCTAAAGCCCTGCCCTTACACAAGCTTAATATCTTAAGCAGCGAAACGGCGCGTATATTTATTACCTGCGCGGTCGGCCAGTGGTACCGTGCCGGCGGTTCCGAGGAATTCCCTGACGAACCACCTGACCGACTCGCTCGGAAATAATCGTCGAGTCGCCTCAGAACGACGGCACGACTCGACGGTGTCTGCGGTACCGCTCGACGCTCGAAACTACCTTCTTTTTTGTACCTGCTTACTCCCACTTGCACCGCTCTCGAGAACCTAGTGGGTACCAAGACGAAGAAGAAAACAGAAATACAGCACACACATCAAGAAGGACTTTAAAGATATGTGTAGTGGTTTCGACTGGTGTCGGTGATGGTTCTTAGTGAATGGTTCAGTGATGTTATAGTGTGAAACGTTCGTTGCGAGTGTCTCGAGGATTAGGTGGTACTGAAAAGGAACCATGAGGATACTCAATTTATATTGGTAAGGGCAAACTGACGTTTTTTAACTCAAATTGGTCTCGGTTCTCTAATACGTTTAGAAAAGCTGTTCTGGTTCTTCGATTCTAGTCTCATATCTAAGATCCTGGTGAGCTATAAAATCCTTTGGGTTCTTTCTTAAAGGCCTTTGAGGAAATGTGCAGTGGCTTCTGTGGATGTTAGTGATGAAACAGTTCTAATAAATGATCTAGTGATTTCATAATGAGAAAATTTTACTGTGGGTACCTTGAATATTAAAAAGTACCCAAAAGGAACCGTGATGATGCTCAACTTTGATTGATAATAGCAGGATCATAGTGTAAACTGAGTCCCCTAATATCTTTCTCTATTTCTCCGATTGTATCTATTAGATGTGCTTACTTTCCAAGAACTTGGTAAGCTTCGAAATCTTTTGGGTTCTTTCTAAAAGGCCTTTGAGGAAATGATTTAGTGACGTATCTGGACATTGGCAATGGAATGGTTCTAGTGAATGGCCTACTGATGCTAGAGTGAGATAGTTTTACTGTGGGTACCTTGAAGATTGAATAGTACCTAAAAGGAACCACGAGGATGCCGAACTTTTATTTGTAACGCCAGGATGACACTGTGGGCTGGGTTCCCAAGATTTTTTACTCTAGGTTCACGATTGTATCTATTAGATGTGGTTACTTTCCAAGATCCTGGTAAGCTTCGAGATCCTTAGGGTTCTTTCTAAAATGCCTTTGAGGAAATGATTAATGATTAGTGATGCTATAGAGAGATAATTTTGCTGTGGGTTCCTTGATGATCGAATAGTACCTAAAAGAAACCATGAGAATACCGAACTTTTATTTGTAATGCCAGGATCACACTGTGGGCTGGATTCCCAAGATTTTTTACTCTAGCTTACCGATTGTATCTATTAGATGTGGTTACTTTCCAAGATCCTTTGGGTTCTCTCTAAAAGACCTTTGAGGAAATGATTAGTGGTGTCTCTGGATATTGGTAATGGAATGGTTCTAGTGAATGGTCTAGTGATGCTATAGCGAGATAATTATCCTGCGGGTTCCTTGAAGATTGAATAGTACCTAAAAGAAACCATGAGAATACCGAACTTTTATTTTTGTAATGCCAGGATCACACTGTGGACTGGGTTACCAATATTTTTTGCTCTAGGTTTCCGTTAGTATTTATTAGATGTTTTTACTTTTCAAGATCTTGGTAAGCTTCGAAATCCTTTGGGTTCTTTCTAAAAGGCCTTTGAGTGCCGTATCTGGACATGGGCAATGGAATGGTTCTAGTGAATGGTCTAGTGATGCTAGATTGAGATAATTTTACTGTAGGTACCTTGAAGATTGAATAGTACGTAAAAGGAACCATGAGGATGCCGAACTTTTATTTGTAATGCCAGGATCACACTGGACTGGGTTCCCAATATTTTTTCTCTAGGTCTCTGATTGTATTTATTAGATGTGGTTACTTTCCACGATCCTGGTAAGCTTCGAGATCCTTTGGGTTCTCTCTAAAAGACCTTTCAGGAAATGATTAGTGGTGTCTATGGATATTGGTAATGGAATGGTTCTAGTGAATGGTCTAGTGATGCTATAGCGAGATAATTTTTCTGCGGGTTCCTTGAAGATTGAATAGTACCTAAAAGAAACCATGAGAATACCGAACTTTTATTTGTAATGCCTGGATCCACACTGTGGGCTGGGTTCCCAATATTTTTTACTCTAGGTTTCCGATTGTATCTATTAGATGTTGTTACTGTCCAAGATCCTGGGAAGCTTCGAAATCCTTTGGGTTCCTTCTAAAAGGTCTTTGAGGAAATGATCAGTGGTTTCTTCGGATATTGGTGATGGAATGGTTCTAGTGGTGCTGTAGTGAGACAATTTTACTGTGGGTACCTTAAAGATTGAATAGTACCCATAAGGAACCACGAGGATGCAAAACTTTTATTTTTAATGGCAGGATCGCACTGTGAACTGGGTTCCCAATATTTTTTGCTCTAGGTTTCCGATTGTATCTATTAGATGTTGTTACTGTCCAAGATCCTGGTAAGCTTCGAAATTCTTTGGGTTCCTTCTAAAAGGCCTTTGAGGAAGTGATCAGTGGTTTCTTCGGATATTGGTGATGGAATGGTTCTAGTGGTGCTATAGTGAGATAATTTTACTGTGGGTACCTTAAAGATTGAATGGTACCCAAAAGGAACTACGATTTTTAATGGCAGGATTGTTTCTTTACAAGATCCTGGTAAGTTTCAAAACCCTTTGGGTTCGTTCTAAAATGCCTTTGAGGAAATGATTAATGATTTGGACATTGGTAATGCAATGGTTCTAATGAATGGTCTAGTGATGCTAGAGTGACATAATTTTACTGTGGGCTCCTTGAAGATTGAATAGTACCTAAAAGAAACCATGAGAATACCGAACTTTTATTTGTAATGCCAGGATCACACTGTGGACTGGGTTTTCAATATTTTTTACTCTAGGTTTCCGATTGTATCTATTAGATGTTGTTACTGTCCAAGATCCTGGTAAACTTCGAAAGCCTTTGGGTTCCTTCTAAAGGCCTTTGAGGAAATGATCAGTGGTTTCTTCGGATATTGGTGATGGAATGGTTCTAGTGATGCTATAGTGAGATAATTTTACTGTGAGTACCTTAAAGATTGAATAGTACCCAAAAAGGAACCACGAGGATGCACAACTCTTATTTTTAATGGCAGGATTGTTTCTTTACAAGATCCTGGTAAGTTTCGAAACCCTTTGGGTTCGTTCTAAAATGCCTTTGAGGAAATGATTAATGATTTGGACATTGGTAATGCAATGGTTCTAATGAATGGTCTAGTGATGCTAGAGTGAGATAATTTTACTGTGGGTACCTTGAAGATTGAATAGTACCTAAAGGGAACCGTGAGGATGCCGAACTTCTATTTGTAATGCCTGGATCACACTGTGGGCTGGGTTCCCAAATATTTTTACTCAACTATGAGACTTTTTGTAGGATATCGATTATGGCTAGTAGTTTCCTTCCCAAGAGTCTGATGAACTTCAAAATCCTTTGGGCTTCCGACTAAATAGGTTTTTGATGAATTATACATATAGTAGTGATCACAGGTTTAGTGATGTTATATTGACATAGTTTCATTGTGAGTGCCTTGCAGATGAAATAGTACCTAAAAGGAACCACAAGGATACTCAACTTTTATTGTTATGGAAATAATGAGACTTTGGGCCTGGGTTCCTTGATATTTCTTTACTCGACTATCAGACTTCTTTGGGTTCTTTCTAAATATGCCTGGTTGTTGATGATGATTCAATGGTTTACTGATGTTATATTGAGATAATTAAATTGTCAGTGCTTTGAAGATTAAATAGTACCCAAAAGGAATCATGAAGATGTTCAACTATACTTTGGGCTGGGTTCCCTAATAGTTGTTGCTAGGTTATGAGGTTGTCTATTTTCCAATTGTAGCTTTTAGATAGTGTTTTTTCAGGACTAAATTTCACAAGGAACCTTGAGGTTATTTAATTTCGGTTCCATAATAGTTTTTACTCGACTATGGTACTTATTTATTAAAGAAATGAGTTGGCGATGATAGGGTGGACAAAGTGATTGGTTTAGTGATGTTGTATTGAGACAGTGCCTGGTAAACCTATGTTACTCAGGGCATAAAGGTCTGATACAATCATATTGGGTGTTACCTACAACTCTCTCTTGATCCCTATGGTTAACGCAAGGCTGTATGAAATATTTGAGATTCAGAAGACTTCAGAAATCGTTTATCGTCCTTCATCTACGTGGTTTCAGCTAGCAAAATAATTGATGTGCACTCTTTGAAAATTGAATTTCATCTATTAAAGCTTGATGAATTCCAGGTAGATACGGTACTAAGTTTGTAATTGATCTAAACCCTCAGCGGTCTTAAAAGTTGAAAAGTCCTTCGTGAAGTTAAAAGAGAACAAGTCTCTCGGAAGTTGCCTAGCTGAAACATCCATTAAGAATATGTAAATATTTGATTAGAAAGTGCAGAGGGAGATTTCATAACACAGCAACTATTGTAACTGAATTTTTTCTGATAATCTTCAGAAGCAAAGGTTTTTGTAGCTGTTCGCAGTAAATACAGATGTATTTCAAAGACCCTCATTCTTTGTATTTTGGAAAATGGAAAATCAATAATCAGTCCTGATTTGTTTTCGCGGTAAAACGTATATCTATTGGCATGGTGACCATTCATCAACGACCGATTAGTGATTCGTTCATTGGTGGGGTGGAATGCCCAACAAATTACTCATTTGTCATTAATGAACACTTGCATAGCCACCTACACCTACCTAAGAAGTAGTTATTGGTGGCACTACAAGCCCAGGGTCAAACCGTTAAACCCGTAGCTACCTGCAGAGAAATCACGTTGAAATGCTTTCTGTTTTCTTTTGTGAGCAAAGGTCACTTTATGGTCGAGATACCATAATGGGGTAGTTGGCTGAGTGTAAATATTTGAGCGGAAATGATGGTGCATGCCCAGTAGAGATGGCCGATATCGTTATTTTTGAATATCCGTGATATCTGGTTACGTTACTTTTTGATATCGGTGATTTTAAAGCGTGATCATGACTTTAGAATAACGATGGGTGAGATGCCATCAGATGTGAAGACATGAATATGTCTAGCGTCGTTCGATATTTATACTAAGTGACATATAAATCCGAACACCCAGTTTAAATGGTTTTATTTTAATAAAATTTTGTATAAGTACTTAATGAAGCATAATAAGTAAATGATAAAAATTTCAAAATGATTGCACTGCTTTAAAGCCCTTTGACCTTTAATAATGTGTGGATGCACCCTGATGTGCTACGCATTCTCCAACGCGCCTAGGCATGCTTCTGATCAGGTGGTAAATGTCCTCCTGTGGTATCTCATTCCAGGCAACCACCAACTCTTCTCGAAGTGCTTCTAGAGTCTGAGGAGGACGTTGCAAATTGGGGAATCTCCTACCCATCATATCCCACACGTGCTCAATTGAGGATAAGTCGGGAGATCTTGGTGGCCATGGTAACAATGTGACATCATTATGTTGAAAGAAGTCTATTGTGACTCTTGCAACATGTGGTCGGGCATTATCTTGTTGGAAAGTTGGATCTGCCAGGGTGTCAAGATAGGGTAAAAGATGGGGTTCTAGAACTTCGTGGATATAACGCTGCGCGTTCATGTTACCTCTGATGAAGATTAAAGGTGACCTGAAACCATAAGCCATAGCACCCCAAACCATAACTCCAACAGTGTGATGAACATGTCTTTCAACAAAAAACTGTGGATTCCTCCTTTCACCACGTCGCCTTCTAACCCTGGCGCGACCATCGTGCATGCCTAAACAAAATCGAGACTCGTCAGTAAAGACAATACTGTTCCATTCCTGATCCCAGAGGGACCTTTGTCTGCACCACTCAAGGCGATTACGTCGGTGTTCTCGAGTTAAAGCGAGGACCCAGTGTGGCCGGTATGAAAACAAGCCAAAACTTCTCATTCGTCGGTAAACACTTCGCATACCAATAGGTCTTCCGTGTTCTGCAAACCATTCATTTGCAATGGACCGGATAGTGGAGAAACGGTCCCTTAAGGCCAATAATCTTAGGCGGCGATCTTCACGGTCTGTTGTTCTACGGCGGCGTCCAGTGCCCCTTGCTCTTTGCGTACGGCCTTCTCGAAGCCATGCCTGACAATACCTAACCACAGTGTCTACACTTCTTTGCACTCCAACTGCAATTGCCCGAAAAGAAAGTCCAGCTTCCCGAAGTCCCACTATACGGCCCCTATCAAACTCACTAAGTTGCCGAAATCGTACAGGTCTCCGTACTCTAGGCATCGTTACCGATCGTAAAGGATGTCAAGAACCAAAATCCGCCAACGTTGATTCTTTACTGCGGCTGAAATATTCATTTTTAGAGCGTTAGTGAATTAAAAAAAAGCAGTATAAAAACCGGAATGTCCAACTGATAAGGCTGAAAATTTTTTCACTTGTTATTTACAGTAAGATAAATACATTCACCAACTTTTATTAAAATAAAACCATTTAAACTGGGTGTTCGGATTTATATGTCACTTAGTATATTATAGACCTACGTGCTATATGGCATGGAATTATTATTATTATTTAGAATTTTCCTAATACTAATTTTCCAACTATATCTTTAAAGAATTCCTACGATCAAAAATACGCATTCATCTGTACGAGGTATGAATTACGAAAAGGTATTATAGCTATTAAACTGATGAAGTGTCAAATTGAAGTGTTACGTATCTGCACATATGAAAGGACACGATGTACATAGCTTTATCATTTCAAA